ATCACCACCACTCGATCACCCACTCACTCACTCAATTACTCACTCATCCTCAGTAGGCTTCGAAGGCAGTGGTCCTCCGACGGTAGGACCGCCGCCACTCAACATCATCGTCACCATCTCCATCATAATCTCTCGACCACACACTCAGTGGCCATCATGATCATCATTAGCATCAGCATCACTCATTCATCACACACACTCATCATCATCATCATCATCATCATTCACTCACTCATTTCGTCATCACTCACACCCTGGCTTGGATTTGGAGGTCGTATCAGGCGGGAGCCTCGTCTGTGAGTGAAGTGTGAGGAAGTCTCAGGCGGGAGCCCCTCCCTATGGGGCCCGCACCTCATGTTTCTAATCCGAGGCGGGCCATTCGAAACGTGTAACTGTCGTCACTTTTGGGCCCCTGTGGCGAGAATCTGGAGGTAGTATCAGGCGGAAGCCTCGTCTGTGAGTGAATTGTGAGGAAGTCTCAGGCGGGAGCCCCTCCCTATGGGGCCCGCACCTCATGTTTCTAATCCGAGGCGGGTCATTCGAAACGTGTAATTGTCGTAACTTGGGGGCCTTTGCGGCGAGAATCTGGAGGAAATATCAAGCGGGAGCGTCGTCTGTGAGTGAATTGTGACGAAGTCTCAGGCGGGAAACCTCTCCCTTTGGGGCCCGCACCTCACGTTTCTAATCCGAGGCGGGTCATTCGAAACGTGTAACTGTCGTCACTTTTGGCCTCCGGAGGGCTTGAATAAGGAGGATGTGTCAGGCGGGAGCCTCGTCTGTGAGTCCCCGCGCTGAGCTAGCTCGAAGCATGCGAGCTTGAGCTGGGGCGCAGGAGGAGGAGGAGGAGGAGGAGGAGGAGGAGGACGAGGACGAGGACGAGGACGAGGACGAGGACGAGGACGAGGACGAGGAACAGGAATTGAGGAGGACGACGGCGGCCAGGCGCAGGGAGAAACCCTTGCGTCCGGGCCGGGGGTGGTAACCCATCTTCGGCCGAAACGGCGGCCGGGCGCAGGGGGAAACCCTTGCGTCCGGGCCGGGGGTGGTAACCCATCCTCGGCCGAATCGGGGGCAGGGGTAACCCCTGACGCATGCGTCCTACCTGACCTCCACGTTGTCGCAGGGCCAGACGCTGCGCAAGGGCGTCACCATCGACTGCGCCAGGGATGAGGACGCTGGCCGCACCGGCATGTCGGACGAGATCACCTCTACGTCATGTCCTCCCGCGCCACGCGCATGCGGAACATGCTGATCCTGCGGCCGCCCGCGCGAGCGTTCCTGGAACGCGGGCCGCCGGCGTCGCTGCGGAAGGCGCTCCAGGAGTTCGACAAGAGAGCGGTGGACTCCAGGGCTGAGGCGGAGCAGCTCGCGGCAGAGCTGGGCTTCGTGCTGCCACCCGCCTGAGCGCCGCGGCGCGCACCTGGAGGCCCGCGGGGTTGTCCCAACGGCTGGCTCCCGCGCCCCTGCGGCCTGCGAGGTTGTCCCAACGGCCTGGCCCGAAGGGTTGTCCCGACGGCTTCGCGATCTAGCCGTCGGCAAACGCGCGCGTGCTGGCCGACGCGGCGACGGCGCCGAGGAAAATCGAGTTGCTTGCCACGACCAGGGGAAACGGGAGGTGCACATGGAGAAGAGGCAGGAGGATGAGGAGGGGAGGTGCATGGGGGAAGGCGACGACGAGGAGGAGGTGGCACGAGAGGAGGAGGAGGAGGAGCAGGAAGAGGAAAAAACAGAGGAATATACATAGAAGGAGGAAGAGAGGGCAGTGCAGAGGGCGAGAGGAGAGGATGTCCGCCAGGGGGAGGAGGAAAGGGCAAAGGGTAAGTTCAACAGGTTTTCATGCGGGGTCCTGCCGTCGGAGTAAGTGTTGTTGTTGTTGCTGCTGTTGCTGTTGCTGTTGTTGTTGCTGTTGTTGTTGTTGTTGAACATATATTAATTCTAAAGAATAATTATTGTTGGGCCCCCTGGTGCACGCCCCCCCTGCGCCGCCTAGGCCGCAGCTACATTTTCATCACTTTCGTGAGGAAGCCTCAGGTAAAACGATGTGATCCAGATCCGGTTGTTTTGTTGTAATCAGTTTTCCCTTGCAAAAAACACTATAAAATGACATTTCTTGTTCTAATATAATCAAATTTCAAGAATCCCTTGCAAAAAATAAGGTAAAGTGGACATTCGCGCGCGCAAGACGAAATCCTTCCAAAAGCTTAGTGTTCGGAGCGATTTTAACATAAAAACATCAAAAAACCAATGGTTTTTCAACAAAAAAATGTCAAAATCTCATCCCGCGCGCTCTTGCGGATTCGTAGGAAACCCAACACTTTTTAAACATTTCTGTCAAACGGGCTTTTGCGAGCAACTTTTTCGAACTTCTGCAACAACGGTTGCGCACCTGCCAGGGCCATCATCCCTGTCAAATAATACCATGCGGGACACATTCGTTTTTTCTTCGCGCGCGCACGCCGTCGTCGTCGGCCGCGGGGCCCTGAATAGTAGCCACGGTCGTCCGCATGCCACGAAGTGAAGTGTCCGAACGTCATAGGGCGGGAAGCTGGGTGTGGGTGGTGGCGAAGAGTCGTTTGGAAATTTGGTAGAGCTTGAACCGGCCCCCCCACAAAGTGGGGGTATTGCCCGCCTCCTATGAAAACCCTGGCACTGGTGAGAACGGAGTGTCCCCAGTCTTAAATGATTGTTGTTGTTGTTGTTGTTGTTGTTGGCGTTGGTGTTGGTGTTGGTGTTGGTGTTGGTGTTGTTGTTGTTGTTGTTGTTGTTGTTGTTGTTGTTGTTGGTGTTGTTGTTGTTGTTGTTGTTGTTGTTGTTGTTGCCTGGGGGCCCGTTTGGGCGCAACCCCGAGACGCTCGAACCCGAACCTCAAATCCGCAGGGCGCTAGTGCCCCCCTGCACGGGGCAAGACGTGCATATAACGACCGTTTCGTAGTGAACCTCTACAAACAGGACAGCAGCATACCGAGACAGAGAACGACAAAGAGAAGGACACAAGAAGGGAGAGACGGAGAGAGAGGGAGAGGGAGAGGGAGATACCTACTGAGCTGTTAGCTACAGCGAGAGAGAGAGAGAGAGAGAAAGAGAGAGAGGGAACATAACAAACGAGAGAGAGAGAAGAGCACAACAGCGACACCAAGAAGCAGTCCGACCCCGCCTGCGAGCTCAGGTGCTGCAGCACGGGGGGCAACGACACTCTCTGAATCTCAAGACTTGCCTTGTAAACATAACAGTGCGAGCCCCAGGAGAAGCACTTAAATGGAATAACGCAACGTGATTTGCAGGGGGATCAACAAGAAGTATTCGTTCAGACGTGAGAGTTCAATCGCAAGAACAACAATAACCACAACACTCATTTTAAGACTGTTCGCTCTTATCTGCTCGCGTGCCATTCAACACGTATATCCCAAGCCCTCGATACCCGCCCTCTTCGTGCAGCCCCTAAGGCAGGGGAAGACAGGACGGATGGAAGCAAGGGACAAGGGAGAGGGAGGAGGACGGAGCACGAAAGAGAGTAGCAGGAGGGGGGCCAGGGGCAGAAAAAACGTGGCAGAACCAGACGGGCAGATCGGGCGGGCAGATCCTGTCCGCCGGGTCGGGAAGGCGGGCATTTGCGGCCAGGTCGAGCATGGGAGGTGCTCGAGCGTGCGTCCTGCATGGATCACGAGGAAGCTTCGGGCGACAGCGCGATTCCCACATAAGACGTGAGAAATCCACAGCGAGAGCGTGATTCCTGGGAGTCGAGGGCGGGGCGTCTTAATACATGTGCGAGGCAGTCCCACGCGAGAGCGCGAGTCCCGCATACATCGTGGGTCAGTCCCACGAGAGAGGGCGATTCGGGAATACATGGTGAGGAAGTCTCATGCTGGAACTGTTGTTGTTCGGGCCCCAACAAGGAGCCCAGTTTCGTGGCACCCAGCTTTCCTTTTTTAAAGAAGAACAGGATGCGAGCCACGGGAGAAACACGCAATGGTTACCGGGAAAGGGGGACCAACGACAATGATTTTGTAGTAGCGAGAGATGAGCAACAACAGCAAACATAATGTTCAGACTGTTCGCTCTTATCTGTTTGCATACAGCTCAACACGTATATCCAAAACCCTCGATACCCGCCCTGTTCGTTTTGGTCGTGCCCCCTTTGGGGTATATCTTTGTCACGTGCAGCGTGTACGCCGTGAAGCCGCAGCGGAAGAGAGGACGGATGTAAGGAAGGGACACGGGGGAGGGAAGAGGATGGAGCACGAGAGAGAGTAGCAGGAGAGGGGGCCAGGAACAGAGAACACGTGGCAGAACCAGACGGGCAGATCGGGCGGGCAGATCCTTTCTGGCGGGTCGGGAAGGCGGGCCTTGGCGGCTAGGTCGAGCAGGGGGGTCGTTGAAACGTGCGTCCTGCATGAATTGCGAAAACGTCTCGAGCGATAGCACGGGTCCCAAATAAATTGTTACAACCCCAGCAGCGAAGGCGTGAGCCGTAAGAGTCGACGGCGCGGCGTCTGAATAATTTGCGAGTCTTGCATACATTGTGAGGAAGTCCTGCGCGAGAGCGCGATGTGGGAATGACTTGTGAAGAAGTATCAGGCGGGAGCCGTTGTTGTTGTAACTCGGGGGCCATGGCGGCAGTTTTATACCCAGGGCTTTCCCTGTCAGAAAACGGGGTGTGCGCCCTGGGAGGAGCACTACAATAGGTAAAGTACCATGGGGGGCGAGGAGGGCCAGTACAATAGGAAAAGGATCAACGATAATTGTTTTCTAGATGTGAGAGGTCAAGCAAAATTCAGGCCACGGAGTCACACTTCACCAACGCACTCAGAGATGGTGTAAGACCGTTTGCCCCCCCTCACTTTGATAACCACCACCCCCGCGCGCGTACCTTATGCCTGACCCGCTTGTCTGTGGGGGTGGGGCCCAGAAATCGTGTCCCCAAGGGGTGGCAGTTTTGTGCGCAAGCCCCGCCTCTCGCGTTTGTGCCGGACCAGCTTGTTTGAAGGGGGTGGTCCGCCCAGGAGTACAACGACGCAGCCAAGGACGCGTACGAGGCAAAGGTGATGGCGCACTGCCCAGGCTGCGGTCGCAGCTTCAAGGACGAGGCGACCCTGGCCAGGCACGCCAAGGCGTGCACGGGCAAGGGAGCCGCTGGAGCGCTGCAGGCGGCCGTCGCGGCGGACGACCGGGCGGGTGCGCGCGAGGGGCAAGCCGAGGCAGCCGAGCGCGGCGGCGGTGATGCCAGGAAGCCCGCTGCTCCGCGCACGGTGGTATGCTACATCTGCGGGCGTGAGTTCGGAAAGTCTTCCATTCCGGGCCAGCCGAGCTGGACCGCGCTTGCCAGGGCCAGCACAGCTGGTGAGGGTTCGGGTTGCGCACAGTGCCGCACAGACAGCCCCCCAAGTAGTTCCGGCTGACCTCCATAGGCGTCCTGAGTAGCTGTAGCTGGTCTCAACAGGCCCCCCGAGTAGTCCAGGGCGGTCTTTGCACCCCAGCGACGCCCCTGGGGCGCTCCGCGCGCAAGGGTCGAGGTGCTGAGAGCGCCCCGGACTGCTCGGGGCGGGGGGCCTGTTGAGGCCAGCTGGGACTATTCTGGGGGCTTATTGAGGCCCCTGCGCGCACCCCGAAGCCTTACCAGGCAGGGCGTGGAGTCCCGGGGTGACTTTCGAGCGTTTTTTGAGGTCGTCCTATCCCGTCTCACCCCTCCTTTCCCTTCAATGGGTAGGCTAGGCCAATGTCCCAACCTTCCGACCCCGCTCGTGAAGACCCTCTGCCAGCGATGGCTTGCGGACTAGCTTGGCTGGCCCGGCGCTTCGGCATCCACGAGCCACAGTGCGCCAAGAAGTTTGTGGAGACAGAGGCGCAGAAGCCCGCGCACGAGCGGAAGCCGCTGCCGCAGCGGCCCGAGGTGCAGGAGGGCGTCACCAGAGAGGACCCGCGGTGCCGAATGAGGGGATCGGCCATCTTGGGCCCATCGTGGCCGTCTGGGGGCGCTCGTCGGGCCCTTCTGAGACCTCCTGGGGAGCTCCCGGGGAGTTCCAGAACGGGCCGGGCGTTGTGTCAGGTCAGTTTTCTATGAAGAAGGGAATCGATTGAATTATAGTACAGCTGTACATATGTATCTAAAAACATATACACACAAGATTGCGCTGGCGCTTCGCGCCACGCACCTTGGTCCTTGAAGATGTTGTCATCGTTTTTGGCACTTGAATTCAAGTCCCGTTACCCGTTCCTTATTGGTTTTCGCCTTCGATTTGTATGTTCGTGCGCCACCCGAATGTTTCTTCTGATACGCTTCGATTCGAGTTTCGAGGCGGGCCCGATGACGCGGAGAGCCCTCGTGTGGCCCTGACTCGCTTGTGGCCCAGGCTGTCCGCGATGTGAAGCACTGGTAAGCCATGCGAAGGAATGCCAAGCGAAGCAACGCACTGCCAAGCAATGCCACATAATACGAGGCAATGCAATTTCAAACAGTGCCGTCTTGGTTACTGGACATACACCGGCACCTGGGTTCGCCACGGCATTCTGGGTAAGTTTATTGCAAACCCGGGATTCGGGCCAGTTTGGTGTATTTCGTAGGAAGGCGCCTTCTGGAAGACGCGCGACCATGTAAAGGAATGGCGTTCGGGGTCCTTCGCGTGGCCACCACACGGGCTCGCTCGCGGCCCAAGTTGCCCGGTCGCGCAATGCAAGGCAATGGAAAACAACGCTTTATCGTTCCACACCGTTCCTCTCATTCCTCCTCGCTCTCGCCTGGCGTTGCGAACCATTCCCCGTCCGCCGCAGGTTTTTTTTGTGCGCAGACTCCTCGTTGCAGAACCTCGGGCCTCACGAATGCCTCTCAAAGGCTTTGGGGACCTCTGGAAGCCTCCTGGGCACCTCTCTGGGCCGTCTTGGGGGTCCTTTTGAAGCCAGTTTGGGCAGTCTTGGGTCCTCTTGGGCCGTGCTGGGGCCTGCATGGAGAATTTTGGCCATTTGTGGGCCTTCTCGGGGCCATTTTGGGCCCTCCTGGGGACCTCCCATGACCTTCCTGGATCTCTCTTCGGAACCTGTGGGGGCCTCGTAAGCTTCTTTTGAGCCTTCTTGGGGCTGCCTTGGGCCCTCGTGGGCTGTCTTGAAGCCCTCATGGGGGTCTCTTGCGCCGTCTTGGGGCGGTCTCGGAGGCCTAATGGGCCGTCGAGACGCAAAAAGCGAATATGCTGAACATGCACGCTTTCCTAAGGCAATGGGACGATTTGTGCCCCTGGGGGCCCTCCTGAAAGTCTCTTGAAGAGTCTTGGAGGCCTCTTGGGCCGTCCTGGGGGCCTCGTGGGCCGTCTTGAGGCCGTCTTGCGCCGTCTTGTGGTTCTCCGCCGCCTCTTCGACCACGTCTCTGATCTCTGCTGAGCAAGGTCCGGCAAGGCGCCCTGGGAGGCGCGGCAGGGCTTCGGGACTTCTTCGACGGGCGTCCAGGGGGCTCCAAAGGCCCGGATCCTGGGGCTCCGGCTTTGAGGGGGGGGATGGCTGTTCCCGCCCCTCGGGCTTGTAAACATGTAGGAAAAGGTGCGCGCATGTATGTATGTCCCATAAATTTCTGCGTGAGCATCCGAGCGGATGTCCCAGATCACACATGCAAGAGCAAGAGGAGGTTGAGAGCTGTCGTGGACGAGGAGGGCGACGACGACCCCCGACGGTCCCCCGAGGTCTCAGGGTGTCTCCCGAGTTCTGGCTCGGAAGGCCACGCAGGGGCCAACCACGTCCAAAACCGTAGAGAAAACGCGCAGAGTCGACGACGACGACGACGACGACGACGACGACGACGCCCGTCGCGACTGTGGCGGCAGCGGCGGCCAGAGCCCTCAGCGCTGGCCGAGCGCTGGCGGGAGCCCCACGCCCTGCGCAGCTGCGGCGGCGGAAGCGACCCCGCGAGGACCAAAAAGGCCCAACAGAATTCACGAACCTCGATCTCCGACCCTGGACCCTTCATTCTCTCAGAGCGTGAATTACCTCCCCCGCTTTCGCTTCCAGGCAAAACCAAGCCATACCACGCGACTCCTCGTCAAGAGGCCTGACCAGTACAGGCTGCAATTTGGCGTCGCTTGGTATCTCTTGGAAGCGAGGGTGGTCAAAAGCGAGGTAGGTTTGTCTGCCCCCTAAAAAAGGCCCAATAGAATTCACGAACCTCGATCTCCGACCCTGGACCCTTCATTCTCCCTCCTCGATCCCAGAAGACTGCGACGACGCTGGCGGCGACGACGACGACCACGACCACACCCACGACGGCCGCCACGACGACCGTGACGACGAGGCCCGGCGGCCTCCAGAGGTCCGACAACGATCACACAGCGACGACGAGCGATCGACGATGGCGGACGGCCGACGGCGTCCACAGGCTTTCGGAGTCTGGATGGAGGCTTGTCTCGGGCCGAACGAAAGGGGGGGATTGGGAAAGGGGGGGTTACGAAATCTGCTGCATGCAGCTGGTTTCGGCCCCACCGAAAGGCCCATTCCTCGATACATAGCCGCCTCCAGCGCCGGGAGGCGCCGAGAAAATCAGCTACGTGAGCTGATTCTCAAACCCCCCCTTTGCTATCCCCCGCTTTCGCGCAGCCCGATTTTCAGGCCCCCCAGGAAAAACACAACGCACCCTAAAACATGCAATCGTCCAGTCACGTCCACAAGCGACGGCGAGCACCACCACCACCACCACGACCACTACGACGACCACCACGGCGAACATCACGACGACGGCGGCGGCTGCGGCGGCGTTGGCCGCGGGGGTGGCGGCGGCGGCGTCGGCTTGGGCTTCTGGGGCCCTCTTCGTCCACAGTGGCAGTAATTAATGTCACTTGCGCAGTCTGCGGAACACTCGGAGCCTTTCGACGCGTCGCATGCGATTTCGCACGGTTCCGCGACCGCCTACGGAATCCGAGGTCATCCCACCGAAAGCCCAGCACTTCCACGCGCCAAGTGCGGCATTTGTTTGGAGGACCTCTCCTTTGGTAATCTGGATTTGTGGACCAGCGCAAAGCCTACTGACAACGGCTGCGCAGTCGGTTGGAGACGAAGCGCGCGTGCGTGGCGCTTATGAGCACGATGCGCGCTCCTGATTTGTTGTACACACGTGCAACTATACATTCATCTATATATGTATACACATATGCATGCGCATGTATATACATACATATATATATATCTATATACGCATATAAATGTTGTGCTCAGCATAAGTCGCTGTTCTGGCACAGCTTGAGTTGTCCAAGTCTGGGGCACAACGGGAGGGCCCGGGACGGCCCGAGAACGCCCGACGAGGTTTTCTAAAGACCGCCAGCGCAGCAAAGATATAGCAGGTCCGCGTCGTGCCGACGCAGACGCGACCCGCCGCGGGCGTTCAAGGTTGAACGTTGCCTGGGGAAAAAAGAAATTGTCTGGCAATCGAAAAGCTGCCGATCGTTCGTGGTTAAACGGTCCACGCCGCGTCCGGAATCAACGCGCAAGTCGACCCGGCACGAACCTGCTGCAGGCCCCATTCTTCTTTTTGTGCCATTTTGGCACGTTCGCCTTTCGAGCCTGCAAGACGGCCCAAGGGGTCTCCAAAAATCGCCCCACGATAGCAGAAGAGGCGATCACGACGGCCCCCAGAGGGTCTCACGACGGCCCCAGAAGGGCCCACGACAGCCCGAGAGTGCCTTAAGACGCCCCAACTGGAGGAGCCACAGACAACCCCAGATGGCCACAGAACAGACAGCCCAGCGATAAAGAAGGCCGTGCTTCCATGTCGAGTCCCGACGTCGCACCTCATTCGGGGCATGTTTTCATATTGGTTGCGATGGGCTTACGGCCGGTGCCGCCGACCCTGTGCGCAATGGGCAGTGGGATGTTGATCAGGACGGTGAGGAGGAGGAGGAGGAGGAGGAGGAGGAGGAGGAGGAGGAGGAGGATGGAAAGGAGAAGGGGGACGGGGGAAACGGGGCAGAGAGAGTGTGAGGAACAGGCCTCTGTGGGGCTATCCTAAGGTCCTGGGTCCATTCGGGAGATCACTCAGGCCCTCTTGGGGATATCAGGGGGCCCTCCCAGGGCCATTTACGAGTCCTCCTAGGCCTCCTTGGACTTCCCTTTTGGGGCCATCTTTAGCCCCCCGTCGGGCCGCGAAAATGACCCTCTTTGGGCTTCTAAGGCGCTCTTGGGGCCGTCTTGAGAACCTCGTGGACGCCTCGGGGGACCCTCGTGGGCCATCTTGGAGCCATCTTGAGCCCTCGAAGGCTCATCGAAAGCGAAAGCCGAGAAAACTAACAGCATTCGAAAGCACGAATGTTTTGAATGAGCTTTGCCTCCTGGGCGACTCCTTGCTCCTTGGGAAGCTCCATGGCCACTAGGAGCAGGATTGGAGCGGACCTGAGGCCTCTTGGAGGCACGTTGGATGCTATCTTGAACAATTGTGGTGTACCCTAAGCTATGTTGAAGCTTTCTTGGGCTCTTGAGAGGCTTCTTAGAGCCGTGTGGAGGCCCAGGGAGAGATGACGCCCTCGCCCCCCGACCCTCCCCCCCCATCGCCCCCCGGGAGACCGCCCCCCCCGCGGGGGAGTGATCAAAGGCAAGGGGCTCCCCTTCGACCTGATTATCACGTTGCTGCTGACGACGACGACGACGACGACGACGACTCAGACGGAAAAGCGTCTCACTCACGCACGCTGGCAGGGTCGGCTGATTCTGTACGCTCGCTCATCGTAAATATCAAATCGCTTCATACCAGCCAGCGACAGTCCAGCTCCTGGTCATCCTTTCAGGCGATCGCAAACATAGATCAAGGGGGCGTCGATTAGCGAGGGGTCCCGTTTCCACGGGAAATCGCAGATTCCCGCCGCCGAGCGAGGCGGCACCGGCCGCGCTTTGGGGAGGGCGCCTCCCCCGATCCATGGATTTGGCGACCGCGCGCCAGATCCACGGATCGCTATTCCAGGTTTGCGCGCCCCCCACCCTGTCGCATGCCTAGCGATTGACACGAACACCAAGATCGGCAGTGTGCCTCCACCGAGGGAAGACGATCCCAATCTCGGTGATGGTGGTAATATTCTGGCTTCCAAGGTGGCCGAAATATTACCACCAACACCGAAATCTAGGATCGTCTTCCCCCTGTGGAGGCAACCCCCTGTGTTGGTGTTGGTGCCAATTTCCAGGCCTCCAACCCTGGTCATGCTTGCGGCACGGTGCCATGCGGTGCACACGTCAAGCACGTTGCGTACGCCTCCCTACCACACAGCTTCACAGGACATCATGCGGGCCACACGTGCGCGCGCACGCGAACGGCATGTCGAGCCCCTCTTCGCCCGCCATAGGATGAAGTCGGGCCTGTCCCTCTACAGGGTGAATATTCAAAAATAGTGAAGAAGTAAAAAAGCTGTCTGGGGACGATTTGTTTTGTATTTGTTGGCTACGTTTGAGCATTTTTGGAGTATGTTTCCTTTCTCGTCCAAAATTCCCCTGTAGGAGGGCATGCTCGACCTAACCATAGGAGTACAACGACGCGGCCAAGGACGCCTACGAGGCGAAGGTGATGGCGCACTGCCTCGGGTGCGGCCGCAGCTTCAAGGATCGGGCGAAGAGAACGGTGCGCGTGCGCGGATCCTGGCAAGGCCCAGCCTTGACCCAGGATCGGTGCACACGCACTCCTATCCAAGGCAGGAGGGCGTGTGCACCGATGCTGGGCTCAGGATGGGCCTGGCCAGAATCGGTGCGTGTGCACAGTTCTTTCAGGAGGGAAGCAAAACACACAGACGCAATGAATCGCCGATGCCCCAGAAAATATGGGCACACATGGGAAGTGGGGGGGAAGACGAACCCCAGGAAAGGTTGAAAGATATTGAGAAGCCTGGGATTTGTGTGTGGTTACTTGTGTGTCCCTGGGCCCCCTCATTCTTTTCCCTGGCATCGCTCGGACGTGTGTCTCTTTTTTTCTCGGCGAGAACCCTGGAGGATCCTCCTGGACCCTCGGGCAGAAAAAAAAACACGAGCAACCGAAAAAAGTGCCCAGGAAAGGGACGTCTTCGAGCGGCGGCAAAAGTCTTCCCCGCAAGGACGAGGCGACCCTGGCCAGGCACGCCAAGGCCTGCACGGGCGGGGGCGCCCGCGGAGCGCCGCCGGCGCCCGACGAGCCGCCGGGGGCGCGCGGGGCGGGGGCCGACGCGGCCGCCCCCGGCGGCGGAGGCGCCCGGCGGCAGGCGGCTCCGCGCACGGTGGTCTGCTACAGCGGATGGGCCCAGTTTCCACCACCCACCACCATCCTCCTCCTCCTCCTCCTCCTCCTCCTCCTCCCTCCCTCCTCCTCCTCTCCTCCTTCCTCCTCCTCCTCCTCCTCCTCCTCCTCCTCCTCCTCCTCCTCCTGGGAATATTCCCAGAGAGCCAACGCATTGAAAAAAGCAAGGCGGAGGTTTTTCGTCTTTTCCGCCTCGAGGGGCCCTCGCTGGGCCCCCGGGGACCGTCAAGCAAGGACTCGGGACGAAGAGCCGGTCCCGGGGAAAGGGTCGGGATTTCCAGGGGCGCCGTCCTGAAAAAATCAGGACGTCGCATGTCTGGGGTTTTCATCACCACCACCACCATTGGTAGGTAGGGTAGGAGGAGGAGGAGGAGGAGGAGGAGGAGGAGGAGGAGGAGGAGGCAGAGAGGGGTGGCAGAGGAGGAGGAGGAGGAGGAGGAGGAGGAGGAGGAGGAGGAGGAGAGGAGGAGGAGGAGGAGGAGGAGGAGGAGGAGGAGAGGGAGGAGGAGGCGGAGAGGGAGGAGGAGGAGGAGGAGGAGGAGGAGGAGGAGGAGGAGGAGCAGGACCTCCTCATCCCCCCTTCTCCCGGGTCCTACACATGGTAGTGATGGCGGAAAATGAGCCCGTCTACATCTGTGGCCGCGAGTTCGGCACGTCTTCCATGCTTGGCCAGCCAGGCGGGTCCGCTCTCGCGTGCCAGCCAGCCAGGCGGGTGGCAACCGCGGAAGCCCTGGCAGGGGAATAGCGCGCACATACGAGACCCTCGCAGGGGGATGGCGTGCGCAGAGCAGGACCTCGCGGAGACCTCTGGCAGCGCGGGAGAGCGACCCTTCGCCAGCGTGACCTGGGGCGGGCCCACCGGGGTCCGCCGATCTATTTGAAAGCGTTGCGAGGGCAGCGCGTTTGCGCGCTCGGGCTTGGCCCCCCGCGGCCCCCTCCCGAAAAGCCGCGCGCCAAGGTCACGCTTGCTCAGGGCCGATCGATGTTCCTCAGGACGTCGCTTCGCCCAATGTGTGTTGATTCCGTTCGGCCTGTGTCGGCCATCGTTCCATCACCTACGACGCAGTGAAGGCTCGCGGTGGGCCAGAGCACGTTGGCGCTAACACACGTTCTGAGGATCATCGAGCCTGGGGTAGCTCTTGTGTGAGGCCGGCGGGCCCGCGGGGCCCGCGGGGGCGTTCGGATGCAGCTTTTGGGAGGTCAAATTCTGATTTAGCCCTGGTCCGAAATCCCGCTGAATCCGGCTTAATCCCGCTTGCTCCCGCTTAATATCCTGCTCAATCTGGCTTAATCCCGCTCAATCCGGCTCAAGCCCGCTTGATCCGAGGCCGACTCTGGCGCAACAGCCCCCCAATGGGGCCTCATCCCCCTCAGTCCCTCCGACGAAAACCTCCCAGCAGCTGCCCCCTATCAGGCCAGCCACAACTGGGGGAGCTGTGGTCCTTACCCCCCTGGGGGACCCATCGATTTCGACACGCCTCTCGAGAGATCGTCGAGGCGATGGGTTCCCCCAGGGGAGTGAGGACCACAGCTCCCCCAGTTATGGCTGGTCGGCCTATAAGGGGCGTTCGGTCTCCTCTCGGGGCGGGAGCGCCCCCACGCGCCGGAGAGCAGCAGCAGGGGACCGCTTGCGAACCCTGCCCCTGCCCCCCACGATTTCTGAGGGGCAGGGTGGGGTCCACACAATCCAGGAGCTCCCGAGCGAAGTGGACCCCCCCCTCCCCCTCAGAGATCATGGGGGGCAGGGGTAGGGTTCGCAAGGGGCCCCCCGAGCGGGCCGCGCGGGCACGCCTGCTCGGAGGCCCGGGCGGAGGGCCCCCCGGGCGGGCGCCGGGCCCTGCCCGGGGCGCGGCGCGCCCCGCGGGGCCGTCCGGCGCCGGGCCGGGGAAGCGGCGCGGGCCTCCGAGAGACAGTCGAGGAGTACCCATCGGTCGTTGAAAGTAGGTGTGCTTCCATTCCCAGATTCCAATATACTTTAAGCGCCTTCCTACTTTAAGGATCGAGTGGCTTCACCTTCTCCGTCCTCCTTTGGGGGGCGGACGGAGCCCAATCTACTTTCAACGCCTTCCTACTTCGTGTTTCTACCTGCTTCTTCCGACCGATGGGCAGCGGTCTCTGTATTTGGACGCCCGAAATGGGCACGGAAATAATGGGTACAATTCCCAACAGCAAATGTAGTCCCGAACCAACAGCGGCCGCTGTTCGGCAGGCGGCCTCCTGTCTCAAGTGGACACAGGCCGCGGCGGCGCGGACAGCGAGCCCTGTTCAAATGAACAGGAACTGCTGTTGGGCATCGTGGCCATTCTTTCCATACCCATTTCGGGCGTCCAAAAGACAGGGCTGTGCAGGCTGCTGCCTCTGGTGTGACGCTGGCGCGTCACGATTTTTGGGGTTGCCGCACTCTGTAAGTCGGGCCTGTCCCTCTACAGGAGGAGTATTCAAAAATCGTCAAAAAAATAGTCTGGAGACTATTTTTTGACTGTTTTGGGGCATTTTTGGTGTATTTTGGGTGTATTTCCCATTTTCGCGCAACATTCCCCTGTAGGGCGACAGGCCCGACCTAACTCTATCTCCCTCGTCACCACCCACCAAACCACCCCAACCCAACCCGAAGGCCTCAATTTGCCCTCCATTTCCAGTGGGGGGGGGTCGGGGAACGTTGATGAAGCACATGGAACCCGTACACCCCCCCCCCTCCCCAACCCGCAATTCGGGTCAAATTCGGGTCTGCGGGTTGGGTTGGGGTGGTCTGGTAGGTAGCCACCTCGGGCCCCTTCGCTCATCCCCTT